ACCACTCTCTCGTGCTCGTCTTGTCTACAAATTCGATTAACCGCACACACACACGTTATTTGTTTTTATCTATTATTGTTATTATTAACATTATTACAACCGATATTATTATCATCGATCGCGCTTTGGGCAAACATTGGGTATAATATATTGTGTTGTACGTATGTGTATTATACATAAAGTGTGTGTACATGTGTACACATAAATGTGTATGTGTTTGTTTTTCCTCTGACGACTGATAAGAAAATTAGAGCAAGCTCGGTTATCTAGGTCAGTAGGACGGCGTATGCCATAATCCGTACCGAATTAAATCTACTCCGAAGCTGAAATGATCTAGGCACGGCGGCGCTTGTTCAACAACCTACGCACACGTTATGCGGAGAATAAATAAAACAAATTTTGCAAATAATACATTTTTTTTTTTTATTAAACGCCACCGACGACCCGTCGTCGGCCGACACAAAGTGTTGATTTATATAAATGTATGTGTTTTTATTTATGATGTGTGTGTGTGTGCGCGCGTGCGAATATAGTAAGGCTGCTTAAAAATATGTGTGTGTTTGTATTTATATTTTTAGATCAAGCGCACATGGTTAACGCGAATAGGACCGTCCGTGGTGCTATCTGATTTTTTTTTTTAATCATGATTTGCAGTAGATATCTTAAATCATCAAAAATATAATATAAAACGAGTACAAATGTCGTTAATTGCCAAATTAAATCAATCAATTTATCATGACATGAACTTATCGATTTTTAACTACAGTGTATCCTGCACGGTAAAAATTAACATTTCTATTTATTATAAAACAAGCAGTATCTATTAATTAATATTAGCAAGTAAATTTCCAAAACTCTTTAGGCTTGAACGTTTTTACAAATGAAAAATGGTCGTTTTGCATTGAAAATTAATAAAATTAACAACGTTGGAATTTTGATGAATTCAAATAATATATCGCTGTGATTTATGACCGCTTGCACCAACTATACTTTACAGTTGAGGTTGTAAATGTAGTTCAACCTAAAGTTTATGGGCATTGTTAAACTACCCTTTAATTTTAAATATAATTGGTGCAAACGGCAAATAGAATCTAAATTATATTATTTAAAATCTACTACATTTTTTTTTTTAATACTAAATTATATTATTAAATAATTCAAACAGTTTTCAATCGATACTCTATAATAAGCAACCGATAAATTATTTTCATAATTTTTTATTCTTGTGTTTAATTAACAATGTTTTATTCTAAAACTATTAATATTTTAATCATTTATTATTATTGATTAAGATTTTGTTAAATTAAGCGTGGACGTTCTATCATGTTTGGCAGCCTTTTATATTTTTAATGGGAATACTGAGACATTTACTGTTCAGTACTAATAATACTATTTTATCATAGCGACTTGAAAAAATCGTTTGCACCCACGGCACTGTGGGAATTAGGTCGCGTTGACTTATAACATTATGTTTTAATTATTACTTTTTGAAAAAAAAAACACTATATTAAGCTCCACGAACCCTCCCTCGTAGTGAACCATCGTTTTATGAATAGGCTGATTTCTCGCATTTTGAATAACCCTCTTGCACCTGTTGTCAGACATCATCATGTGTTGTGCGCCGTCAGCATAATATTATATTATATTATGTATAGTAGTTAGATGGTGCTATCAGGTGACCGGTTGCTGTTGCTGCCGTGAGAGTGTGTGGGCGTTTGGGATGAATGAAGAGGGGTGAAATAAAAAAAAGGAATTCCCTTTATGAATAGCACAATAACAATAATAATATTATGTAAAAAAGCGGGGTCGGTTGATGAAAAACAATCGGGAGACCGGGTTTGTGTGGTTTGTCCGGGTGTGTTCTTCGGGCGACGGGGATGAAGAGATTTGATTATGGTTTATTTTTTCTCCCTTGGGAACTGGGTCAGTGGGATGTTGACAGTAAAATTAAAATAACGCCTTCAAAATGCGCGTCTAAGTACGGAAATGGCCGCACAACAATCGGGGTTTCATCAAGATCATAGAGAGAAGATTATCGTTTGTATAAAAAAAAAATATACACGTACAAAATACTGAGTTGGGCCAACTAAAATGATGGTTAATGTAGGGACACAATAAATGCCTAGTTGGAATAACTAAATACTGAGTTGGGCCAACTAAATGTTTAGTACAAGTTTCCAAAACGACTAGTGTACGTCACATTTAAGTGGCTTGTTTATAACAAAACGTTTTTGTTATTATTATTTTACCAGTTACGTTTACAACAAAAATAATGATTTTCGGCTAAAAACAAATAGCTTTTTACAATCATTTTGTTAAAATTTTCCAATATTGTCATATGGGGTAGTCCTTGTCTGATGTTCTTTTTATCCAGTTTACGCTTATGGGACGCGACCACTTGTCTATACACTATCGAAAGTATAAAAAAAAAAAACAATAGATTTCCATCATAATCGTTTGCATACTTTTATAAATAATAATTGTCCAACAAACGTTGTGTTATTGCTGGACAACTAAAACGAGTTTAGTGGATCATTAGCGGCCACGAACGCCTGTAATTTCTACCAAATCCACTGGTAGGTAATAATATAACGGTCGGTTTTCTAAAAATTCTGATGTAACCGCGAACACGAAACAAACCAGTATATTATCAGTTCAGGAGTTTCTCTACAACATGGTTAAAGGGTGGCCCTGGTGCTGGTCGCATGACATATGTCTTAAGTACTACCTGAGTATGGAAAATATCATACTTGGTCGTCGATTCCATAACACGAGCGTGTCACTGACGATATAAAAAAAAAAATGAAAAAAAAACTACCCCTTACAGACTATATTGATGACTATATATTGATGAAGTGCCGCCGGGGGACAAAAGTTTTATAATATTATGATTTTCATGGCGAATTTTCAAGTATCGTTCAAAATTAAAAAATCTGCGCACTATACCGTCGATGTGGAAATGACCGTTAGGTCATAGTATTAGTATTACAGTTCATAGATAATAATAACAATACCAACTTTACTAAAGAAACGCCTGTTTTGCCCTTTTGGGAAATGACCGACTGACGGTGTTCATTGGCAACTCGACTCGTACTTACAGATCTATGAAAACCTTCTTATTCGCTTACGAATACACGTTAAAAAAGAAAAAAAGATTAACATTTTTTTTTCTCTCGAAACAACGTTTTTAAAGCCTAAACGTGTATTAGCTAATTATAAAGACATAAACAGTATTGCAATTTTTTTTTTCTTTACTCTCCGACCGGTATATCGTAAAACGATGATGTACTACACAAAACGACGCGAATATCTGCCAAATAAAAAAAACTACTATTACGGTAATCGCTCATTTCGTTAATTACTTATGAGTTTTATTATTTAAAACCTGTTTATTTTGTCCTGTATTAATTAATAATAATAATAATATATATATTATGTGTTTATATATATAATAATATTACATTATAGTCAATTAAACATATATATTTAGAGACAACCTTGAGGGGAGACGCGTTCTCGTATCTTCGCTTTACCCCTCTCGGAGGCGCGAGTACATACATAATATTATGTATATATATATATACATAATATACACAACGGGCGCTAGTGTGTGTTGGTCTCATTGTGGACACAACACACACAGAATTGAAAGTAGGTCATTGAGATCCCCTCTACTCGCCCGCCTTACCCGGCGGACGCCGCCGCCGCCGCCGCCTCCTTCTCCACCTCCGCGCCGCAGTCGACCGCTATACCCGCCTCTTCCACAGTCGCCGTCGCCGCACAGCCATTACGCGTTTTGCCCCCACCCCGAGTCCGGCTCCGTCACTTTCACTTGTTTCAGCCGTTTCGGTGTGCCGTCCGTGTCAGTGTGTCTGTGTGTGTGGTATCCGATCTTACGGCCACGGCTAACTTGACTCTGCGCCGAAGTTTCGTACATGTGTTCGACGAGAACGCGCTCGGCCGGTCTCTCGTGTCCGCGAAAATAACTTACGATTTTCGTGTATTAATAAAATTTAAGAAAAAAAAATTATATTTATTTCGCTATTACCGTAATTTATATATATATATATATATATATTTTTTTACATTTTATTTTAATAACAACGTGTTATTAATCATACACTTACAACTTGAATTCGTGCGTGCACCGGAGAGTAAATTAAAATTGTAATTTTTTTTTTTTTTTAATTTTATTCGAAAACCAGAAAATTGTGGACTCGCGTTTTACCTACCGGCAGTGTTTTCATTCGGTCGGCCGCCGCGCGCGCCCATAATATCTGAGTACATAGTGTGTCGGCGTGCGTCCCCCACCGGTCCGGTGCGTGTGTGCGGCGAGCCGCAGAGCGATTGCGTTTCGTCGTCGTAGTCGCCCGATTCAGTCTCAGTGACGAAATCGGGCCGGCCGGGTTATTGTGCAAACGGGTCTCGCCGCTAACCAGTGTAATAGCCTAGGACATGACGAAAGCCGACAGCTAGCCCCCGCGTGCGCGTGCTGTCGTCTCGCCGCGTGCCGGTGTACAACACTGCAGTAGTAATAATAATAAGTATATAGTACCGTCCGCGTTCCGGGCGACCGACTGATATATATATTTTTTTGCGATTTTCAAAAATTAGTTAATTTAAATTTAATAAATTAACCGCGACATCGACCCCCCCGAGACCATCGGTAATGGTCTACCCGTCGTACTCGTGACACACGGTGAACGCATCTAGTGGGGCCCTACGGGCGGCCCCGTACGTACGTCATATGTTAGCAGCCGGCATGGATCACTCGGCCAGTTACCTATCACACTTCGGCCTCAGCCCGCCACAGGCGTCCGGCGACGACGGCGAGGACTCGCTGTACCAGCCGCCCGCGTCGTCGCCACCCCTTTACCAGCACCAGTACATGCCGCCCCAGCACCAGACGCCCACGTCCAGCGCTTACTCGATGATGGGCGGCGGCGCCAACCAGGGCTGCTATCAGCTGGATAACACAGCATATTTGTTCGGTTCTGCAGGTGGCAACGGCGGCGTGTCCGGTTCCATGGACGGACTCCAACAGTACATGACGGTCGGCGGCAGTGCGGCCGGCGGCGGCGCTTCTGTGTCCGCGGCCGCCATCAACCCGACGGCGTCCGCAGCCGCCGGTTCCGATATGCCCGACACCAAAGAGGGCATCGAGGAACTTTGCCCCGTGTGCGGCGACAAGGTGTCCGGTTACCATTACGGCTTGCTCACCTGCGAGTCGTGCAAAGGATTCTTCAAGCGAACCGTGCAAAACAAAAAGGTTTACACGTGCGTCGCCGAAAGGTCCTGTCACATAGACAAGACACAGCGGAAACGATGTCCGTTCTGTCGGTTCCAGAAATGCCTCGAAGTCGGCATGAAACTCGAAGGTCAGTGCTATTTATTTATTTAACAAAATTATTTTCCTTACACTAAGCAACTTATGTTATAATTTTTGAGAGCGAGCTTAAAATTATTTAAAAAAAATAGCTGTCGAGCCGACTTAAAAAAGCGTAGAACCCTACGAGAATAATCTACCATGTTGTGGCTTGAGCAGGACTTGAATACTTGATTCGCCCTTCTCAAAATCTCTGTGCTCGATAAACTTAATCTATTTCAATATACTTCCAACAGTCTTGACGTGGTATTTTCCGATATCCGAAATAGGTCCACCCGACGATATTAGAGGGAAAACTATCCGACCAGACTTACCAAAAGTCGAAAACCCGCTATCGACCGGAGGGGCTGGTTTCAAAAACCGTATTACACCGTAACCGTTAACCGCCTCAACAACTTGTCTACCGTCCGCTTTATATTAATTACTATTCGACAATGTAGTAAAAAAAAAGTTAAAAGAATTTCCTTATACCATATTCGATTGTCAAAGCCCGGCTAGTATATAAAGCTTGCTTGTTGATACTTCCCCTACACGGGTCGCGCCACGGTTCAATAATGTTTTATCGAAAAATTCGGTCCTGCGCAATGACCAAACCGGGTGTTTTTTCCATATCTGTATCGACCTATTGTAAATGTTTTTTTTGAAGTATTACAATTTTTTTTTATCCTTTAATATAAATTTATAATGTATGTAAGTATGGAGTTTAGTTTGAAACTCGACAGTTGTAGGTAATTTCTATACTCCGATCCCTTTCATACATACTTTAAGTGTGGCAACTAAATAAATAATTATTAATAACAAAATTCCTATAATTTTTTTTTAAAAATGAACCATTTTAAATGTCATTTCGGCTACCACCTACTAACTTAAATAATTTAACACTAACGGTCGCTACGACCCCTTTGCTGGTCGGAAATGCGGGCGCGACCAGAATTCATGTTTATTTTTTTATAGTCTTAATCTATAGGCTTTTAAGTGCACCATTTGTTTTATATAACGTCAACGTGTTGATGGAACCCTGGTCATAACTATGATGATGCGGGATGTGCTAAACTTTGTGAGTGAAACCAAAATAAAACCGCTAATTTGGCCGTTAAAATATTACAACTTCAGGTACTATCTGTTCAACATCTAACAGTGTTTGTATTTTATCTGATTGCTTTTGGGACCTAACCTAACCGGGCTTATTATTGGTGAGGCTACGTTAGGTTCGGTCAGGTTACGTCCCAAAAACCATAAGATAAACGCTGTTGGTAGTGAACATCTCTTTTTTTTTTTTTTTTTGGAACTTGAAAATTTACCCCAATGGAAGTCTGTCTAGATTATTATTCACTGTGGTCAGGCTAGGTCCATAAGTCACTGGCTAAGTCAAACACGACCGGTTTTAAACTGCCATAACTAGTTTACAATAGCTCGGATGCTATATCCCCCACCCCCCGCGCAATTTGGCAGTTAAAAAAACACAATATTATCATGACGTACGAGTCAATCATTTAAAATACATAATACATTTATGTATATATATATTTTTTTTTTTTTATCGGTACCATAGGATATAATAATATAAGGATAACACCGTATGTGTGTGTGTGTGTCTGCGTTAGTTATAATATATATTTTTTTTATAATATTGTGTTATTTTTATGGCGGCGGTGGTGGTGGCGTATCGATTAATGACTTGTATGCACGACGTCAGGTAACGACCCGCCATAATAATATAACAATAATAATAATAATAATAATAATGATAATATTGTTGTGGGCGTCCGTTACAACGCCACCGAAAAAAAAACACCTTAACTCTTTGACCTTATTGTTATACACGGGTAATATGATATACTGTCCGAAATTTCTTTTGGACGACCGCTTTCTTCTCTCATTTTATTTTTCCCACATGAAAATCGTTTGGCGGATCAGGACCGAACGAACGTCACGTATACGATAACTGGCATTATTTGGGTTTGAAATTCGGTCGTTGTCGCCGTCGTTCGGAGAGAAGTCCGTGCTTCGGCATATTGAAATTGTTTTTCGGTGGGGAAAAACATTTTTGGCTTGACAAATTATGTCCCAAAAGTAGTCAATACATATATAATGTGGTAGGAATAAATCGGTGACGAAAGCTCAACGCACATACATTATATAAAAAAAAAAAATAGTATGTACCACTCCTATCTGACAAAGCCAAAAACCGTCGGTCTGTGTAAAACAAATTTAGCTCTCTCTTCTTTTTCGACAGTGTACAAATTCGCAGGTTTTTTTTTTTTTTTTTAAAACGAATATTCGACAAATACAAAAACCTGTACTGTTTTGTAATGCACCGGTCGACGGTAATAAGCAACAATAATATTGCGGGAATATAGATACACGCAGAGAGATATAATAATAACGATAAAAAAAAAAAATAATAATGTATAATAAAAAAAACACGGTATTTCTGTTCCACCGACCGAATCCGTGTCAAGATCGTCAAGATTTCCTCAGTGTCTCCCCCTCCCCCTATCCTCTTCGCCGGCTTTCCATCATTCTTCCATGACATCATAGTATGATTTCTGTGCACAGCCGCTATATTATATTCTCTATATTATTATTTTTTATTACAAGGCGATTCGTCCCACCACCGCCGGCCCATAGTAGAACTCTATCGAATACATAATAGAAAAATACACATAATACTCGGTAACACCATATAATGCGATACATTATATTTATCATTATAATAATATTATATTTATGATACCTCGTCGTTTTGTTTAATGTAAAACCCATTCATAGCGGCCGCTCTTCGTCGCCCGTATTCCGTTTTACTACCTATACCATACACAACGAAACGTTTTAGAAATATTTTACAATATCCTTTTGACTAGAAAACAAACCGGCGATTGAACATAAATTATGGGTTTTATTGGACTATGCACACCAAAAATCAACTAAATGTTTGTTATTCCTTTAAAAAATGTAGGCTTATTGTGGGTTGGGTTTATGTGTACCAAAAGAAAAGTTTTTACCAACTCTGAATTTATTATAGAATATACGATGACTTCCTCTTGCCTTACTTTCCAAATTGCTCGTTTATAGTAGGTGGTACCTCGCCTGACATCAAAGTATGAAATCAATATATTTTCAAATCGATCGTGAGAACTTTTTTAAAACACACTGTTTGCCCCCATAAAGAGTAGAAAATATTTTAATAACATTTTTACGATATTTAAAAAATACATTTTTTTTAGTTGTACGAGTTGGCTTTTGCTCTCCGCTTCTCTTAAAAAATGGCATTTAATCCACCGCCGTTTAATATATACAAACGTACATTTATTTTAAATTAAAAAACTAATTAAAAAAAATCGGTTCAGTAGAAAAACATTATCGTTACTGACTACAAATACATATTGTTGTAAATCCAACATCCCTCTGCTCAGCGTCAAAGCTAAAATTATTTAATAAAACAAATTATACCGTCCTTTAACCATACCACCACTTTGTTAAAAATGCCTTATACACTTGAAATAAATTAACTGTATATTTATTATGGTTTCTCAACCAAAACCTCGATCAATATTCGCTTTGGGTACTTGGCTAGCTTTCGGAAACGGACTTAACCTTTGAGCGTGAAATGACACGATTAGGGTGCGAGTCAGGTCGGGTTTGTGAGTCGGACAAAGTTATAAGAGAGGTTAGGTTAAACCCCATATTTTTGGTTAAATAACATAAGCTGGCTTAGAACAAATTATAAAATCTGTATTTTTTTTTTCTAAAATCAAAGTTCCTTTAAAAAGTACAAAAATTCCCTCTGGTCCCGCCGGTTAAAGGAAATCATTATTATAGTTATCACATAGAAATGTGGTGACTGGAATTAACCTAAATATTAATCCGCTACGACCTCTAGAATAGTTGTTGCTGTAGGCATTGCTATATTTTTTTTGTACATTAAATAATTATTTATACCTATCTATATATATATATATATAATATATATATATATATATATGTACATATAGTCGTTATGTCAATGCTGTAGCTTATTAATCTGCGAAGCATCGCCAGCGTTGTTATTTGTGTACAACGATATCATCGGACGACGAAGTGTATTTTATAACAATATGAAAATATATTGCTGTGGAATAATAGTGATAATAATCCATAATGTGAACCGCCCGCAATCTGGATCATTTGATCTTTTTCTGCCTCTCCGACACAATACTACTCATTTTTTTATTTTCAATATAAAATACGAAAAACAAAAATTGTTTACACTTACTTCCGTTTTATGATTTACCCTCTCCATTGAAACCGGCTGCCGGCGTTCCGTGTGTGACACAGCCAACTATTGCGGCGTTCGGAAATCCTGTTGCCGCATCTTTTTCAATGCATATTTCAACATTATTATTATCATTATCGTTTCTGTTATTACAATGTAATAATATCGTATAATACCTATATCAAAAATTGTTGCCTATGTAGGGCGACAGATGTTAACCGCCGATTGTACGCCAACTATCGTAATAAATAATTAACCAGAAAATCTGCATATTTTTCGTTCGCTCGCCGTTTGTATAGTGTACAATAATAATTGTCGGGCAGCAATAGTTTTCCAAGGGCAAATACATGTCGCACTAGCAGCATTTAGTCGAGTCACCTACGTAGATTTAACACGGTTTAGTCGAATCAATCAAAATTTCGGCCATCCCTATTATAGCGTGTACGAATTTAAAGTTTGCTGTAGGATAGGGCGGATCAGGTTAGACGAAGGGTTAAGTTATTAGGTCAAGTAATGTGAAACGGAGTCGGGTTGGGTTAGAATAAGTCGGTCGAATGCAAAATATCAATAAAATTTGGCGCGGAACTTCATTCTGCGTTTACCATATATATATATATTTTTTTTTTTTTGAAGGCTTTGGGTCGGTCTCATAACCAAATACAGATAGATCTGTACGTGTTATGTAGATCCCATCCAGTCGATATGTTGCATTCGTCAGAATTCCAGAAGAATTTTGC